TTTCATGTTTAATGCAGACTATTTCATCGTCCACATTGATATTACTTTTGGTATCATAAACTGTATATGCAACAACTATATATTGTAGACTTCGGTGACATTTACTATCCCCATAAATAAATAGTCTAAATTATGATGACCACCATGATAGAACTCAGTTGAGCATTAGGCCAAGCATCCATTTAGTATGTCTTCTTTCCAATGGAATTCGTTTCAGTTGGGTGAAAAAATTTGAAAATTTTAATGACTATAGTGTTGTGACTTAGACTTAATTTAGTGCTGTGATTTTAGCCTGAGCCGTATTCAGTAGACTTCGAGCGCAAAATTATCATCAGAATAAATTTAAAAGTATATGCTCACCTATCATGAGAATTTGTATTCCTCAGTTAAACACAATCAATTGAATTTTAAATAACGTGTGATATTTAGTGTAAAATTTTCTGATTCTAATACACCTGCATACAGATATACTGATATGTGTTTCATCTGTATTTGGTCAATAACATTAGCCTTGATTTCCATCTGAAAATATGAGGAGGTTACGGGTCTCATCATAGCATTATTTGTGTATGGTGGAGCTACTGTGTGATCAAGTCAAGATTAGGCGTAACGTATTAGGCAAGCAAGACAAGACAGTTGGTGAGGTTGAAAACCTTCACTGACTGAGATGGTTTCGAAATGTGTTGCGCATACAAAAATACTAGCCCTACCGACGAGTAATCTTAGTCGAAGTATGATTATGCTGGAAGAAAGCTGAGAGCAGTCACACCAAGTCATGGCATCATTTCATTAGATATACGACGGCTGTTTTGACGACTGTGGAGTGTGTGAAGTTTAGGCTACCTAAATGATTTCTTGATGAGGATTTCGTGACATGGCTGAAAACTGTTTGCAGTTGCACAGATGTAAGCAGTATCTGTCATCTTCAAAACCCTGAATATTTTCATGAATATTTATAAGTTTTTTCTGTCAACTCTTATACACTTCTGTCCAACTGGATATCATCCTTCATCTATCTACTTCTTCATATGCCATAGTGAATTAAGATTACTTGAATTGACTCACTTCTGTGCCAACTTTTAAGTTGGTTTGCCTGACAGGTCTTGATATCCTCGAGCCAGGTCACGGTACGAGTGTTTTTATCGACAAACTATCTGGAAGTATCTTATTGTGTGAATTGATCAATTCGGGAAAAAGACAATTTCGATTAAATGTTTACTTAAGACATTACCTTTTCTGCTATATGCCGAATAGCTGTGTATGAGGTTTAGCCAACACGTCGGACTATTCTTTAGTCAACACACACTCTTGGACGTTAGAATATGCATTGCACTCCAATAACAAAATGATAATTACTCAAGGAAACACTTCTACTCTGTGAACTGTTGTAGCTATACTCATTAAACTATGAACTTCAGACCTTGGTAGATGAAGGAATCTTCTAAAATATGACGAAGTGGCTGAAAAATAGCAGCCTAAATCATCACAAGACATCATTTTAAGAACGACTGGGAACTTGGGAGCACTAGAAAGCTGTTTTGTCCTAGTATGGAGCTTCATTAAGTTGAAATCCAATGGTTCACATTTTTCTCCTGTCAACCTGCTATATATTGTGACACAGTGGCATGATGGTGATGTGCTTTCAACGAAAGCTGGAGGTCCTGGTATAAACCCTTGGCGGGTTCGTAGGTACACAGTGTTGAGGAGCTTCATAATAGGACAAAACAGCTGCTCAGTGCTTCCAGGTTTACAGTGGTTATGCAGATGATTTCAGTTCGTGATAAATATTAACTTGAAATTAATAATAAATTCCCGCAAACTTCCGAACTCAAATGGAATAACTGACTTACTAGTCAGCCGCTCTGTTTACTTGACAACGAGGATCAACTGCTAATCACTTCTCTACTTCAAAGCACTGGTAATCTAGAGACCACTGGCTCGCATGCTGACACATTTCAGATTTTCTTGTCGCAATGAGTCACTATATGTATCACTAACAACAGTCTATTAGACCAAGGCTAACTCAGATAATCTCACCAGTAATTAATAAGTTATCAAATGACTGCTAACTAAATATTTCAAATAACTTTCGGTCAACTAGTTAATAAACATCAATACGTATGCCTAGGGAACAACTAACTCTGGTACTCAATATCTGTCATACATTTTCCGCAAGCAGTTGATTTATTCCCATAAATAAAGTGAGAAGAAATCAATATTGTTTTACGTCTGATTTGTTCCTTTCTTTAACGGATATGAAATATTCGGGAGAATAATGGTAGGGGGTTGGGTGTTTGTTCGGTCACTGTATAATCTAGGCAACCATATATTTGTATTATTCAGAACTGGATATATTCTAGAATCTATGCCCAATGGGAATTATCTGTGTTCCAGCTGAATAATAATAATAATAATAATAACGGGATTCCATTAATTTATGAAATTCCTTCTTATCTATTTAGGTCAATCGATACTGTTATAAAAACTAACAGAAAAAAAAATCTTGTTCCATAATCGTCGAGAAAATAGAAATAGGAATAGGGCATTTATTTATCACACTTTCATAAACTGTAGCAATAAAGACATGAGTTTTCTCATGGTAAGACTATGGACATTTCAGGTCACAGGAAAATCTCTGCCTTACTTATTTATCACCTATACAAGGGGTAGTGATATTTATTATTTATTGCTACAAAGCAAACACTCGGTGCGGTAAATGGGATACATTGAAAAAGAAGCAGTTGATACTTTTGTCCGTATTATGAACATATTATTATTTATGCTGATGGTGATGAATAGAATTAATTTTCGGGGTGGTAAGTCGACTTATTGTCTCTCTCCCTCTCTATGTCAGGCTGATGAATTTTCAGTCGTAAATATTGAATATGGACTAATATTTTGGTAGTAATAAAAATGAAATGAGAAAAACTGTTAGATGATAAGACTTTGTAAATGACATCACTATTCAAAGACAAAATAACGGATGAGAATTCTAGGCTTTATGTCTGAATTTCTCAGAATTTTATCAATGATCAAAGCGAGGATTATCTGAAAAATGTGATGTGTTAGCGCAATACATTTCAAACAATTTATATATGAAAATGAAAGGTCAAATGTTATAATGACTATGAAAGGGATGTGACACTAGTCTTGGTAATATAATCAGATAAGGATTACTAAGGTAATGCAAATGAAACAACAAATTGTTTTTGTACGTACAGCTGGGACTTAAGTTTACGATGGCTGACGCTTCGGCAAACTTCAGTATGCACCCCTGATTATTCCTGTCTAATATTTTGAAGGCTGTTTTCGTATTAATCTTGTGATTCATTTCAATGATATGTTTTGCTATAGATGAAGATGGATGTCTGTCACCTGCACTTATTACTGTTTATGTATTAAATTATTTTTCAAGCCATTTAGGTATGTGTTCACATTGAACGATTACTCCTCCGAAGCGTTGCTGAAACGTTACCATTCGTAAACTTAAGTCCCAGCTGTACGTACAAAAACAATTTGTTGTCTTATTTGCATTACCTTGGTAATCCTTATCTGATTATATTACCAAGACTAGTGTCACATCCCTTTCATATTCATTATAATATTTGGCCTTTCATTTTCATATATAAATTGACTTAATAAGTAAATGTGTGGGGCATCAGATTGTTTGAGATGTATTGCTCAAATACATCTCACACTCTTCAAATTATTTTCATCGTCTAATAGTGTTATCCAAATTTATTAAAGGGATTAACCGTTTCAAATAATCAAAGCATAAAAACGTTTGTTGAAAACACACTAGTTTTAATCGCTTTAAATTCACTCTAATTATCCATTCATAAATAATCTTATGAAGAGGACTTTGATATTGAAGCATGCTTGAATGGAACTGAATTCTAGTCAGTTGCAGGAATGATTTCACATCTTTGAAATCTGATCTACCTTCATTGTGTTTATAGCAGGACACATTACCTGTAACCTAGTTTGAAAGCTTAAAACAAGTAGCTTCGATTGAAAGACTGTATAAAACTTCATAATTTCAAGGGTTCTTACAAAAATAAAACACTATGAGACAGAGTTATTTCAAAGCAAAACATTTTTTATGTCTATTGCGTGCAATACTCGTGAATAGCTATTATTTTTCACTAGATGAATATAACAGACTAGCACTAGTCCAGCTTCTTATTAGCAGTGTGTGTGTGGCAAAGAGTATTTTCTTCACTGTCCTTATGGTCATTGAGGCATGGCCTATTTCAATAATATAAAGGAGGTTTATAAATTAACACGAAAAACGGGTGATCTCTTTTTTCCATGCCCTTCTTCTTGACTTCCAAAATCTCGCCACCAATTTATTTGATACCATCAGTCTCAAAGACTTTCAATCGTTTGGTTATCGACGGCTGCTGAATTATTTGAGAAAATACCGTAAGACTAACTATTTAGGCGAAAACACGTTTCCAATAACTTTTTCTTAAGCTCTACAGTTATATATCCATGAATGCTTACAATCTCTGACATTGAAACCGTTAAGGATGACGCGAAAGTATTTTCTGCCGTTTGGATAGTCATAGCTTATCTCTTCAAATAAATAAACCATTTCTTGATATATTTTTACCCTTCACTTCACTGAATCCAACCTCTACTCTGACAATATCCTCTGTGTATTGAATTATTACTTTATATTTTACGCATGGGTATAAAGCGTAAGTATGAGTCCGTTTTATTTATGAATCATTAGATTTCTTCTATACCACTTTATTAGCCCAACAGTGAAATCTTCCATCTGGTAAAAATCATATTATAAATAAATTTATTGATAGATAGTTAATACTTTGTTACATTACCAACCAAATTGATATTGTTTACTGTCTTTTACTACTTATCTACTTATCTATAATTGTCTTCCTTCCGTTCTTTGCGTTTTGCCATCTCCCACAGTCTTTAAAATATCATACATATAATATATTGCTTCCCTCTTTTCCTCTTCTTTTCCCTTTTAGGGTTGCAAAGATAAATACAAGGCAATGTTGAAAGACAAACTGGTAATCATATTCCTTGCGACTGTTTCTATTGCAGCCTTTGAAGTAAGTTGAGAGTTTTATACACTTGTGTTTACGAATTGTATTGCTGTCTACTATCATCTCATGTGTTTGCATAGATGTATATATGTGAATATCTGTGTTTACATATATCCCACATGGCGTAGATTCAACCGCGTAATTAGTAAACATCAGTTTATAAAGCTTAGTCACTGGTTAATGTTGAGATTCACACTAGGACTTTATTATTATCATTATTGTTATTATTATTATTATCAACAACATGAATGTTTGTGTTTATTGCTCGTATCGCTGATGGTAACTTTGCATTACTGCTAAATTTATTTATTTGTATACATGCCTAACATCAAATACCTGGTAAGTTACAAAGGTTTGCCTCTAAATTTCCAGTTTGGTTGTTAGAGAAAGCATTATCATAGATGTGTTATTATTATTAAGCTGATAAACTCTCTGTTAAACACTTAGGTGTGTTAAAATACAACGGAGCGCTACTGAGCAATTTTTACATCCTTGTGTACTGCGACTATAAGCCAGACTTATTTTATTAGGATTTATGATGCCGTTCAGTTGTTTAGGTAGAAACATATGTTGCTTACTTTTAACCAGGAATCCGTCTCTACGAGGTCCTCGTAGCTCATTTGGTAGACCATTGGGCCGGAAACCCGGTGGTCGCTGGTTCGAATCCGACCGCGATCCAAACTTTCATTTTGCCTTCAGACATCACCCAGTATAAATACTAGTCTGCCAAACCGCGGCTATCTCAGATAGTCAAGTGATAATTATCATTATTGCTGTATTACAATCCGAAATCCACACGATTCCTCAACCTTATACTATTATCCACCTGTTTATTTGATTATTATCTGCTGCATTTAGAATGACGCAATTTATCTTCAATCTATTCAATTTAAACATCTGTTTCCATATTTCATATTATCACCTAACCTGTAGAAATCGTTCATTTCTGTATCACTATGCTTCAGTTAGTGTATTACCTTGTATTAGACATATATCTCTGTTTCCATATTACTTCACGGGATGCATAATAGTTTCCAGCTGATGAACCCTGGTTTCACCCTGTCCCGCTTTTTACACATTCATTGCTTATTTTTCACATCATATTTGTGCTAGAAATATGAGAATAAAATGTTGAAAGTTTTAGTCTATTTTAAAGATGTTTTTATCGCTCGAAACTGAAAAACTGTTATTCCTAACCTACGGACGTACCTACATACTATTCACTACCGATATCCCCACAATCGTAGTATGAAGTCCTAGTAGGTTGTCATAGACGTTCATTATTTACATTCTCAACTAAATGTAGCCAAGAACGTTAAACGGTTGCGTCATGCACTGAAATATTTTGGATACATTATGGATAACATTTTACAGATATGCTATAATGTATTTACATCAAAACAGCTTTTCTACTCTAGAGTCATTTCATATCGTGCATATTAGCTTAGACCCTTGACGCAAAATGCTGAATGCAGTTATTAACCATAAGCTGTGCTCAGAATATCATCCAGTAGATAATACTAAATCACTATAGGCTATACCAAACGAACATTTAGTAAGGAATTATGCTTTATTAGTGTTTGTACCTCATCTTGCACTAGTTATACAAATGGGTATCACTGAGTAAATGAAAGTAGTTCACCACGTAATTTATCAGATAAAAGAACTTAATGGAAATTATTTTCCAATTCTAATGTGACATTTTATTGTTACATACATATCCAGTCACCTTCTTGTGTGGAATTATAAAAAGGTACCATTGTTTTGAATGTATGTATGTTATTCAGCCTTATTCAGTAAACTGAAGTGATCATTCTGTTTTATTCTGTGTTTACTTATCTTACGGCACTTTTATTAGGCAGAAATCCGAGTGTATTTGGCATACGTTTTGCATTTGTTTGATGTCGGATAATATCTTTGAATTGGACTTTATTGACTCGTAGCTTTCGAGTATGGCATGAAGTGGTGGAACGTGCTGACTTCTTATAGAGTTGCACCAGAACAAATACCTTGGTTGCTAACGTCATCTTTGGTGATGGAAAGATATTCGAATACCTATTAAAAGATGAATACACTTCTCTTTTTAGAGAAATGGCCGTTGAAAGTAGATCTGAAGAGATTACGGGTTTCTGAGCAAAGATGTATTCGTGGCATTACTTGTGTGTATGAGAAATATCAAGACTAGGCTTTGGGCAGGGAAAACCAGTAAGTCAATGACGGTGTAAGCCTTCAGTAACTGTGGTGGCTTGGACAAGTGCTTAACATGGTAAAGCAACACCTAAACCCGGTGTGCAGTGTTGACCAAAGTAAGATAAGGTTGCAAGTAAGCTAAAGATGGGCAAAAGAAGAGGCGGCACCAGTCCATGAAGTCCTTGACAGCTCTTCTGAGCCATACACAGAAGCATTGGCTGCTTAGTGTGAGACGTGGGGATGAAAGAAAGCAACTGTTTGATGCCGTTGGTGACACCGGTCAAAACCCAACACACTGTCACAGATGTAAACAATCTTAGTCATCTACAAAGTCTTAAAATATTCTTATTGATATATTTATATGATGATGGCTTGGACATGCACTGGGCATGCCGAGCCACCACCTACCTCGACGTCCCATGCTAAGGAAAGATGGATTAGGTTGGTAGAAAGTTCAAAGTGCCCAGTACAAGATGTGTCACCAGTCGATAAAGTCCTTGAATGCTGGTCTGAGCTGTATTGGGAGATGTAGACTGACTGATTGAGGTCCCCGAGACTATAGGAATCAGTGTTTGAAGACTGTTGGTGACATGGGTGAAAATCATTCGCAGTGACGCATGATATCTTCTAAGGCCTGAATATTTGCATTAACCATTATATTTAGATTGTCTCTTCTCTCACACAACTTCTATTTTAATACCACTCTTCTTCTGTCTACCTGTTCTTTGTGTACTACCGTGAAGTGCGGTTACTTGAGCCAGTGCACCTGTGTGCAAGGTTCTATGTTGATTTATCAGTCAGTCAACCAGTCAGTTATATTTAGTGTTATTGCTTGTATTACACCGTCGTTGATTGGACCGAATTGATCAGTCTCTGTTGGCATATGGGCTCCTATGCAGATGCCACGATATTGCCTGTCTTTTTAACTATATATGGTTATGATGGGCAGTGGAATCCAGGTTGCTCATTTCGTCCTGCTTGGGACTCGTCAACTGTATATACCTGCCTCTCAGTGAGTGATGTTGTTCCCACCGGGACTTGGACTCGGGAGCGATCGCTTCAAACGCCAGGACGTTATCCACTACACCACCGAGTCACGATAGTCAGTTATATAATGATACATATCGAAATTACGTGAAATATCGGTCAGGTTTTTCTTACTAAATTTAGGAAGTCCAGCAAAAAAGCTAACAAAGAAGTCACAGAAATGCATTTTAGCTTTAAGCCTGAAAAGATACATGATATTAATATCGACAGTTATAAAGTGTATGTTGAGAAATAGCACACTTTTAGTATTTTAAAGTGTTATTTCGAATTGGCGAAAAATGCAACCGTTTACTTCTATTTGTTAAAAGTTTTGTCGTTAGAAGCTATCAAGATTACTAGCGTTTAAATGTTTATGCTAATTTTCAACATTACACAGCAGTAGAGCAGTAACTCTACATTAATTTAAAAATTATTCTAGAAAAAGTTATTCTGACCAGCTTCATTTAACTGGTTAGAACTTATCGACTGAATAAAGCTTCAATGTAGTTCCAGTATTTTTTATCGAAGCAAGCGTAGTTGAACTCGCCGTTTATCTTCATTGAAGACTATCCTTCTATTGTGAGTGGTAAGTAAAGCCAACTCTCGTCTAATTGATTCCAGACATAGCATGTATGAATCAGTTCCATATTGCATTTGTTTATTTGATATAGTGTACTGTGTTACAGTCTTATCTACTTAAAGATGTTTCAGGTATTATTTAGGGTAAAAAATGTTATCGAAATAATCACACAAAAGCTTTAAGTCCTACTGCCTTTCATTCTTCCATACTATTCGTTGGATAAGCCTTTATCTATCTGTATTCGCCGGAAGTCAGTCTTATTGCATATGTTATGCGTTAATTCGATGGATACAGACTTTGTATACGATGTATTTCCTTTAAACCAATCATATTAGTCTTAAGGACTGCTTCTCAGCCCTAATACACTGTAAAACTTTCTGTCATATAAGAATGAAAAGAAGTAGGACTATAAAATTCATGTCTCAAAAATTGTGCCAATACCGTCGTATATGAATGAGTCTTAAGTTGTACACAAAACATCAGTGGTTGAACCAAGGCTTTAATACTAAATATTATACGCAACAGACATATTTAATGTAGAGTTATGTTGGCAGGAAGAATAATCGAAGATTACTATGTATCTCCAGACCAACTTCATTCATATAGTTTCTAACCTCATCTTCTATCAAGTAAGATATCGTAGCTAATTTGTCTCCCCTCTATTGACGGTATTTTGACCGAATATACGATCATGTTTCTACGTTAATTTTAAATACAGTTCAATTATCATGCGTCTCTAATGCGCTACTCAATAATTTTCATGGTTACAATGTGTTTTGCAGCCTTAAAGTGAAGTAAATAAAATTCTTCTGAATCTGAAGAGAATTATCTAATAGAATCATCTGAGTGATAGCCATAAATCAAGCAAACTTACAGTATAATTTCTCACCACAAAATTCTTGATGAGTGTTAAATAGTACAATGTATTTTTCTTAAATAGACATTTATCAAAGGCCTTTGAAATAGTACCGAGCTTTCAATGGATAATTCACTTTACGATACCCAGATAAAGTATCAGCTACTCTTCATATAGGAGTTATTCTCCTACTAGTATACTTTACTTTAGTAACTTCCAGCCTGTATATAGAAGGTGCTTACCATTGAAAAGAATCCGTAAGGTTTGATTTTATTTAGAAAATTGACAACTCCAGAGATAGCATAATCGTTCGATTTTATACAAACCAGAAATTCATAATTTCGATAAACAGTG